CTCTGGTCAATGAATGGCCTTTGCCATTTAAGCTGCTCTGAGGAGGATAGGAGAACGAGATGCAGATCTCTGTATTTAGTTACTTTCTGCCTGGTTTTCTAGCTGGTTGCAGACTTTTTGTGCTGTTCTGCCCTGATGTTGGAGGTCTTCTCTTGATTTACTTTCCTATGGTAACGTTATGAGATCGCAGTTTCATGCTGACAACTCTGTTGGTTGTGGAAAGTGCATTTCTGCCAGTTTCAAAGCCATACCTCCGGACAATGTCAGAGTGCCTGAGGTGCAGCTGGAGTCAAATGTGATGAGAAGATCGGTGCAAGCCTTGGGCAGGTGCTTTAGGTGCAACACACGTGCTTCCCTGGGAAACCGTGCTGCTTGTCTCCTTTGTGTGCCACGGTTTGAGTGGAAGCTACACGGTTTGCTCTGGAAGGAGGGGGAGGCCTGAAGTTGTAAACAAAATCCGAAAATGCCACAGACAAAAGACACTGTTAAAGTGATTCATGGCAGAATGTCTCAATTTGCGTTTAAGAAAAAGAAAAGGTGAAGCAAGGCTTGTGTAACCAAGCAACTGCAAAGCCTTTGCTGTTGCCATGGGAGGTTTTATCAATGACACGGTGGTTGAAACTGTCCTTTTCTCGAAACTGAAGTCTGCGGTGGGAAGAAGAAGGGGATTTCTAGGCAGACTGCTCCTTCCTGCAAAGAATCAACAAGAAGCAGACTGGAGCACTCACACAAATACACACAAAGGTCTGATCACGATAAGAACAATAGAATGTTGTTACTTCCAAAATAGAGCTATGAGACCTGCTTAAGGCTCTCCTTTGGGAACAGTTTTTCTTCCACACTTAGTGTACAGGTAAAACAAATACAACGTTTGACTTGAAGAGAGGATTCAGCTGCTGTCTTCTGACTGATCTAATGCAGCAGAAATATTTGCTGTATGTTACCAGGTGGACTTGCAAAATCAAATCCTCAAGCATGTGCTTATTTATTTTCTTTTTTAGTACACAAAGCAACAGTAAAAAGGATGCGCTGTGTGGGTATGTTGTGACGATGAATATTGCACCAATGTATTGCTGAACGTGTGCAAAGATGTGACAGTTGCAGCGTATGGCTTCTGTTAGGCAGGAATCTTATCTAGCATTGCAGATGTATGGATTGGTCCCAGTTTGAAGAAAGTTGGCTTAAGAGATTTATTTGCATTTGTGGTTTGGAAGATGGCCAAGGAATAAGAGTAAATACCTCATACAGTATTTGACTGAGGAATAGATTTACAAATGCAAATCTGGAGTTATGGTGGTTTCTCACTCAAGAGTAAAATGTTTCATTCCTGTTCCAAAGAGCAGATGCCCAACAAACATCTCTGTGCAGGAAAAGGAAATGTTTCCTTAAACATCCTGCAGCAAACTTGACTGATGGAGCTTCCTTTTCCCTGTGCCTGGTGCATTTCCCCTGTTTGCACAGACAGGATCTAACCAGATTTGCAGGCTCTGAAGTGAGGCTACTTTCAGATTCATAACTGTGGAACGTTCCATTTAGCAGGACAAAGGCCAGGCCAGCAGCCACCCTTCTTCCAGCCCAGCGTGTGCATAGCAGGAGGAGGGTGGTGAGGAGCTTTTGTTAATCTCAACCAAGCTGGCCAGAATGCTGCTGAACAAAGTCTTTGAAGATACTTTTTCTTCATTCTTAAAGCAACAGTTGGTTCAAGAGAGCATAAAAATCTTGCCAAAAGTGTCTGTAAAATATTGAAAGACCTCCCTGGCAGTCATGTAACTTCAGCAAATTCCCCCACTAGTAATTAGCCTCTGCAGTTTCCTTTAACGGGCGTTTTTTCACAGGTTCTGTTCTGATGCAACTGTGAAAATGCTTTTTCCCCAGCTTGAATGCACTTCTTGACAAAAATGGTTGGTGGAAAGGATTTAGGGTATCAGGTCAGGCTGGGCCCGATCCAAGCAGCATGGGCTTTTTTCCCCCCTTCTATTTTTAACCTGTAGGAATTGAAAGCTTAAAGGGCTTCGTGCTTAGAGCTGCTCTCCAAGTCCCTGGGACTCGGTCCACTTCCTAATGTGCTCCCAGCACGGGGCGAGCGCTGCCACCTGCTCCTGTGCCTGAGCTCCGGCGGGGGGCTGAGGTGCCGCTGCAGCACAGGGCAGCTCCCAGCGCCGAGCCAGCTCTGCCCCCCGCAGCCCAGGGGAAGGAGCTCTGTGGACGCCTCCCCGTTACTGAGCCCCGACCACCCCTGCCTTTCATGACCAGCGACTCCTTTGGGGGGTTGGTTTAGATGTTTTTATTTTTATGTGACATTATAAATACAAAATAAAAACGAGTGCTGTAGGTATTTATTTCCACTGGGATGAGGTTCAGGCCTGCTCCTGAGTGCTTTCATTTCCTAAGCTTCAGGACCAGATCTTTGCTGTCAGAAAACAAACAGTGCAAAAGGAACCAGTTTGCGCCCTGAAGCAGTCGTGTCAGTAGCAACGTTCACTGAGGTGGTGGTTCATTTTTTTCTCGTGAAGTGATGCAATACATAAGTATAAAGTATACTGAAGGGTGAGATAAAATACAGGTATTCTTTTGAATAGATGTGGTTGGACACTACCCTGTGACCTCTGTGAATTCTGACACATCAGCAGCGAGTTACGTTCTGGGCAAGACAAAGGGCTTGTTTCCTAGAACATACAGTTAGCACTGGCTTCTTCCATGAGGTCGGATTGTGGAGTTGGTTCAGATGTGGTTATCAGTGGGAATTTTGGCTTGCTAAAAAAGGCTCCAAGTGAAGATGTGTGCTTTTGTCCCCCCGCCCCCAGCACGCCGTTCTGCCTGGCTGGTAGATAGCAGTGCTGTCACTACGTGCCCGAATCCAGCAGCACTTCCAAGGCTTGCAAGTAAAGCCCCATGCAGGCCTACCTGCCAGGGTGTGGCTTATTTGTGATTCTTCTATCTGAGACAAATCCCATTATTTTAGCAGATCATTTTAAGTGAAGTCTGCAGGATTTGAGCTAATATCCATTGACTCTTCTTAGCCGACAGCACAGAGCTGAAGGTGGTGTAACATGGCTGTGGGTAGGGGCTGGGTCACAGGAACAGTAGGGCAGTAGCACTTAAAATACAATAAAATAACTGAAACAAATAAAGGCACCAAACCGTTACAGCCAACTTTGGTAGGTTTCTTGCAGACTATATGCACTTAAATACATTGACAGTTTACAAAAGTTATACTGATTTTAAAAGTTGCACTGATGAAATATGGAATATTTCATTCTTGTACCAAAACTACATATCCCATCATAACAACAACATCTTAGGTTTTGTTTAGTTGAAAACTGTGTAAGAACTGCACCTCTGTAGAGCAAAGCTGATCCCAGACATGTCGCACTGCTTTCTGCTGTCTGAGTGGTTCAGACCCCGCAGTGTGTAAAAACAAAAGCAGTTATCTTTATAAGGGTAAATTTTGTGCTCAGCATTCAACATCAATGTTTGGGGGGGTTTAGTCTCTCTTTCAGATCCATGTATGGACTGATACTGCTGGGGTTTTAAGTTTGCTAAGCAGAGCAAGAACAGTCAATGTCAATCTGTCACAGCCCCCAGGAAGGGTCAGCCTGCAGTTCTGAGCATCATCAGGAACTGTAAGCGTCCGTGCAGAGCTGTGGTGCTGCGGGGAGCCAGGGCTCAGCGCCGCGCTCTGAGGACTCACAGCACAATTCCTCTCCCACTGTTGGCAGAGCTCCTCGTGGCAGTACGGTGCTGCACAGCCTGCAGCGGCGTTCTGTCCTGATCTGATGCTACGAGGAAGGTGTTTTGCCTTCTGACAATTTGTGTGAGAGCATCGCATCACCCCTCTGACACTTTTGTTGGTTTTGGTTGTTTTTTTTGTGTGTGTTTCTAGAGGGAAAGGTACATGTTAATATCCCAGGCTGTGGTGAGGTTTAACAGCTCAGAAAGTGAGTTACGTTGCCCAGAGCATCTTCCTCCCAGTCTGCAGCGCTACCAGGAGGAGCTGTGAGGGCCATAGGAGCCATAACCTCCCACCTCCCCAGCACTGCACGGTCTCAGTCAAGATACTTGGAGAAAGTCCTCTAGCATTTAATCTATTTGCCCGATCAATTAAATTAAGGCAAGTGCATGTTACCAAAGTTGCAGTGGGGAGCCGATCATGTGTATGTCCAGCTGAGCACACGTGATTCAGGATTGGCAGCGAGCAGTGCTCAGCAAGAAGGCCACGAAGCCTCACAACCTAAACATCAGGAGGGAGGGAAGGGTTTATGTTTCCAGTCCCCTGTGGTACAGATGAGAGGAGGGGCGCCCTGCTGGAGCCGGGGCACAAAGATCTCCCAGGTCTCTGCATTTGGTCCTGCAGTAACTGGCGACGTGCAATGAGTTCGTATTCAAGTACAAGAAGAACAGAAGCTGACGAAGAAGTGATGGAGAACCTGCAATAATGGCAGCTATCTGAAATCACTTTCAAAAGTCTCAAAAGCACAGCACAGCCCGCTTCTTTGAGGGCCCAAAACAATGGAACAAAATGACGTGCCTTTCTCCAGCCGATTATTTGCCTGCACGAGTAAGGACCAAGGTTAGAGTCGTCTTTCAGATAGGAACCCGAGTTTAGTTGCCCACAAAGAACGAAAGGAAAACCTTAACCAGTTAAAGCCACGGCAGAAGTCAGTCAGCTGCAGGTTTTCAGGAGATAGAACGAAGAAGGGAAGCGTCTCCTCCCCGACGGGACACGCGCGACGGCCCGGCAGCGCGCAGAGAGGCACCAGCGGCTCCGCACCACTCCCGGCTCCGCTCCAGCAGCGCGGCTGTGCCGCCGGGCCGGGCAGCGCCGGCCGGGCCGGGAGCAGAACCAGACGCGGCGCTCCGACGGGGAGCCGGGCCGGCAGGACGCCGCTCTGCCCGGGGCTGCCGCCGCCGTGCTGCCGTGGCCGGGCGGACTCCGGGATGGGCAGCACCGCGGCGCCCGTCGGCCGAGCTCACCGCAGTCGCTCCCGGCCGGCGCCGTCCGTCCGCGTGCCCGCACGGCCGGGCGGAGCGGGCGGCCCCGCTCAGACGTAGTTCTTCTTGTCGTACTCGCCGTTGGAAGTGGGCCGCCGCGGCGCCGAGTACTTGACGGGGAAGGAGGTCTCGTCGCGCTGCGAGCAGGAGCAGCAGCAGATGAGGCAGCCCCCGAACAGCAGCAGGGCCGTGGCCGCCCAGCCGATGTACAGCGCGGCCCCCATCTCCCGCTTCTGGGACGGCGGCACGGAGGGGTCGTAGAAGTCGCTGATGACGATGTTGGCGAACCAGCAGAGCGGGACGAGGACCAGGACCCCGCAGAGGATGTAGATGGTCCCTCCGGCGATCACGATGCGGGACTTCATCTTGCCGGGCCGGATGCAGTTTGTGCACTGCGCGCCCACCACGGTCACCATGAGCGCCACCAGCCCCAGCAGCGCCACGATGACCGTGAGCGCCCGGCCCGCCTGCACCTCGGGCCGCAGCGCCAGGATGGAATCGTACACCTTGCACTGCATCTGCCCCGTGCTCTGCACCACGCAGTTCATCCACAGCCCTTCCCAGATGGTCTGCGCCACCACGATGTTCACATCGATGAAGGCTGACACCTGCCACATGGGCAGCCCGCAGGCCAGGATCACCCCCACCCAGCCCAGGATGCCCAGTCCCAGCCCCAAAATCTCCACCGCCGCCGAAGTCATGCCGCCGCTGCCGCTGCTCTTCGGAAGCCCGCGGGGAAAAGACGGCGGCTCTGCACCTCCTGCCCCGGGCGCCACCGCCGAGCCGTTCCGAGCGCCGGCGGCCCCGGGCAGCGCTATATGAGCAGCCGCGGGAGCCCTCCCACCGCCCGCCCCGCTCGCGGCCCGGCCCTTCCCGCGGAGGGGGGCTCTGCCCGGCCATTGGCCGACGCGGTTCCCCCGGGCTGGCAAACGGCTCTGGTTAAGTGCTGCTGTTACGGCTGCAGGAGAAAAAGATCTCAGCTGCTGCCGCGCTGCGCTCACGGGGAGCTGCAGTTTGGCAGCGTTCCGCTAGGCACCCCGAGGGGGGCCAGGTTTGGTGTAAGCATGGACTGCTTTTGTTTCTCTTAGAGAAGTTAAAATGTTGTAAACAAAATTGGAAGTTATGTTCGCTGGGCGTTTAGAACTGATCTGGGTAGATTTGGTTTCATTTAGCCCAAAGCATCTTGCCAGGACACAGGAGGTCACGGAGATGAAAACAAGGTATTCCTGCCCCTCCGTAATTGGTTTTCTCTGTTGTGCAGTAATTTATGGCATGTATTATGACACGCAGACGGTTGTGATGACAACGAACAAGTCTGAATGGAGAAGACCATGCGTGAAGCAGAGGAACAAGAAATGGTAGGGCAGAAGCTGAAGGGATCACATGCATCAACATGAGCAATGAGTTGGTGCTGAGCAATGCCCTGCCTGCATCCTTCTGCAGAGTGCCCACGTGCTGGCAACAGGAGGGTGGCAGTAAGGGCACAGCCTGTGGGATGTGGCTTTTCAACTCACTGTTATCTCAACAGGAAGGTGAAATTTAGCCACAAGACACCCAAAAGAATGAATCAAAACATTGTCAGCTTCGTGGAGCGTCACGATGTGGACATGGCAATACGTGACAGCAGCAGCCTGTCATCAACTGACTCTGAGTGAGGAGCCGTAAACATTTCTAGCATGGAAAATGTCTCCCTAACAGAGGCTGCCTGGTAAATGGAGCGCAGAGGAGTTTTCCCCTCTTCCAGCTGCATGTCAAATACGTACGGCTTACTTCAATTATGTAAAACTGTCGTTCCAGTGTGCAAGTCCAGCAGGAATGTGTGACCAGGGCTGTGCGTCTGTCAGGCTGAGGCTGCTTGCTGTAAGTCAGCAAGGGCCCAGCTGTCAGGGACAGGGGACTGTGCAAAAGAACCGACCAGAGAGACAGAGATATCTGAGGTGAACAGGAGGAAACCCGAAATGCAAGCTGAAACGGAGTAACGTCTGTATTTACAATGATAATAATGGTTGTATAGAAACCTCAGAAGAACAATTAAAAAGGGGGGAAGAAAAGCCAGTTATCTTAGCCTGTAAGCACAGGGAAGCCCCACCCTTGCCACTTGCCCAAGAGCACAGAACTGTGGTTTCCTCTGATACATGGCCTACGTGTGCTGCCCAGGCGGGAGGCACTTGTGGGGCCGTGCAGCTGCTGGGGCTGCGTGCTGGGCAGCATTGCACGGCTTGTTTCAGCCCTGCAGCCCTCAGCCCACCTTCCGTGCTACCTGTTACCGAGCAACCGATTCCTCCAAGTCACTTAATCCAAGACATTTATTACTCTGGGGCAACGCATGCTTAGCAATCACAGAGTAAACCAACATTTCTGCTTAAAGGAATTTCCATTCTTGGCACTTCTGCTTCTTGTGTTTGTTTCCTTTTCTTACCCAGGTACTGCCTTCTATCCTGGCCACACCATTTTTAGTTATTCCTCGGTGCTGAAAACGAGAACTCATTGCACAGGCTCCCGGCGCTCGCTGTTCTGGTTACACCTGCAGGTGACTTTGTGGGCACAGCTGTGGGGGGCTCAGCATCAGCTCCCTGTGGCTTCTGATGGTGTTAATGTCACAGCAATGGGAATGAATTGAAGCTCCCAAAGTGAAAAGTTTCTGATTTCTTAAAAGTGAACACAAATCAGCACGATGTTTTGCTTGGGATATTAAGTAAATAAATAATTACTTGTAACTGAAATCTGTGTTAGTAAAGTCTGTATTCACTTCCATTCAAAGACATGATGTTCTTGAAGCAAAGTAAGTCGTTAACAGATTACCATTTATGTTATTACGTCCATTGCTGTTTCAACTATGTATTTCTTAAATCACGCTGGGGGGATGCAGAGGGGGCTTTGCAGCCTGTGAGAATGGGCGGAAGTGGTATTCAAACTGAGAACAATTGCACAGAAACTATACTATAGCAAGAGGGGCTTTGGGATTAGAAGCAATTGTGTGTTCATGCTTTTCCTGACATGATCAGGACAAACACCAGGCACAGAGTAACTGGGAGGGCTGTTAAGGGAGGTGCAGGCTCCAGCACTGCTTGTCCTGAGGTAAGAACTGTGGCCCGTGGCACAGAAGAACTGCTGTGCCCAGCCCTCCTGTCTGGCCAGGGCTTTGCTCAGCTCCAAAGCATTCTGCTGGCAGTGTTCAGGCAGATTTGCCCTTTGGGACCTGACATGTAGACTGCTGCTGCTCCTTCTCACTCCTAAAATGTGCAGCATCAGGAAGACAAGAAAATTTCATTTGGTGTCAAGCTGATGCCTGAATGTAGTATTGTTTGTGTGAATATGGCAGGCAATGAGTCGAAAGATGAATTCAAAGCTCACTGGTCTCAAGATGGCTTACCACAGCTTTTGGATCAGACAGAAGCAAAAGTGAAGAATCAGGAGTCCTGCTACAGATAATTAAGTTAATTAACTTGTTCTTTATTAGTCAAGATTGCTCCTTTCTGAATTATCCTTTGCAATGAGACTGTTTCTCCCAGGAGAAGTGATTCAGTTGGAGCTTGTGTTCACGTTCTGTATTTTGCAGAGAAGTGGGCCTCCATGAAGCCGCTGCGCAGCACCACTGTCAGCACGTCTTCAGGCTGGAGTGACACATCAGAAAGTTGGTATGTAAGAATGAATCCTTGTCAAATGATGGGCTGATTACAGAATGGAAGTGCACAATTTCCCCATCAGGTTTATCTCCGCTTCCTTTATTTTGGAAAGAAGATGGAATTGCCACTCCCTTTGTTAGTTGATATTTTAAGCGAAGAGGAACAGTGATCTAAGCACAGCACCAGCATTTTGCAATAGGGACCATAAATGCAGTATGACCGACACTAACAAAGTAGCATTCCACAACTTTTTTTAGTACAAGTGCTGCTGCTGCCCTTTGGGATGGAGAAATGGATCCCCATGCTACTCTTCACCCTCAGTGCTAATGTGAGACGATTCATATGGAAGAAGGGAAGGAAACAAATATATGTGGTTGCAAAGATGGATAAAAGAGGTTACAGATCTGCTTCCAACCTTCATATTCTTGCTGCTGTATTTTGTTTCCTAAACAAAGTCACCCTGGTCCCATACTAGTCCTTGTACTTTACAAGCATGTCCTGCCTGGGCGTTCCCTTATGGATTGCCCACTGGCACTGTCAGGGAGCCAGGAGCAGGGAATTCTGGCTGGCCCACACACTGCATCAGGAGTCAAGCAGTGTCATGAGCCCTTCCTTGGCATAATGAGGAAATTAATTGTGCAAAACCGTCATTAGAGTGGAGTTCCTGCTTGAATTTCCCTCCACACAAACCTCCGGATCAGTATCTCGAAGTTCCCCTTGGTCTGAACTGGTCTCCATGTGTTAGTAAAGCAGCTCCCACTTCCTGCCTTGCCCTGCAGAGCTGCTGGGTGCCTTGTGCTCTGAGTTTGACTTTCCCGAGAATGCTGTGGTGCCTCTGCACAGCCACGGCTCTGGGGCTCCAGGGTGGTTAAAGCAATGGATGATGCAGACCACTTTCTCAGTCTGGCAGATCAGTATCTAACATCAAGAGAGCTGCAGTACATATACGCCTGAGCCTTGTCAGCTCCAGTACTTCTCGTTCACGCTGTGGATGGCTCTTGGGAATCGATGAAAGCTGGGGCAGGCAGGGGGAAAAGAACTATAGGAAATATACATTGTTTCACAGTCAAGAATCCATTCTATGCCATGTTTCCTATCCGGAGAACTGTAGTTTAATTTTGTCCTCTCCCAAAGTTAGCCTCCTTCCACGGATTGTGGTGAACCAGGACTCTGGTAAACCAATCTGTTCCCTGTGTAATTGTTGGGAAATCACATCAGATGTCATTTGGTTAAGAACAGCGTCAGCAAGGACAAATGTCATTGTCTCAAATATACAGTGCAGATGTCGAAAGTAATTAATAACAACGTGACCTTGGAGATAAGTGAAAACTCTTCAGGTTCAGTGATGGGAAACATACTACATTTCACAAGTGTCCCAGGAAACCTGAGTTCCAGAGAACATGAGAGAGGCTTGGGGCACCTCCTCTGACCATAGGAGATTAATGCTAGCAGTGCAGCTGTGTTCAAAGTACTTTTTTCCTGCTGACCCCTTGGAAGAGGACATCACGCACAGCGTGCGACACAGGGTGTTGGTATTTATTCCTGAAAGGGTTGGTGCTGCAGCTCCAACCTGTGACTTTGCAACGCACAGTTAGTCTGGGTCTTAAACACAGGCCTAAATCTGATGGAAATGAAAAGGATCTCGCATTGTTTTAGGCTTAAATCCCAAATGTTCAACTATGTGAGGAACAGACAGAACTGACACAAAACAGAGCTAAAAGAGATCTTGTAACTGGAAAGAAACTGTTTCATTTCATCCAAGCAGTCCAGCTTGTTTTGTTTAATGGAAATTATACCCAGGAACATGGGGTTGCTTTATGTATCAAAACTCAATCTAGTCTTCAGGTCTTCAGTTATGTGGTCATAGTTGTTTTATTGTAATCAGTGTCAAACCATTTTCTCTGTTAATTAACAGAAGATGCCATAAAGTTTTGGGATTATTCCTTTCTTCCTTTCTTTTTTTTCCTTTTTTTTCCCTGAATGTGTGAGGTTTTTTAACGTCCTAAGACAACGCTCCACACAAAATCAAGATCTGAATTCAAGGAAGGACTCTACGCTTTTGATAACGTAAACTTAAATGCAGCAGGAAATTTTATGAAAGACACTTGAACTTCCAAGAACTAAAACAAAATTCATTCAGAAACTATCGGAATA